ATATTTTAAAGAATAAAATCTTATTTTTCTTCAAAACAGTGTACTTGCATTATTATGCTATTATAATGTCATATTGTTATTATGTAATCAGTGACATAAAATGGTCTGAAAAGATCGCATATCACAATAAATGTTGGTGCAATAACAAAGATTTGATATTGTGTACATGGCGGATATATTTCAGAACCTGAATGAAGTGAACACACAAATGTAAGGCCCAAATGAAAACCTGCTCACAAGCACAGACAAAATAAATGGATTCCGTTCAAAAGTGCATCATTGGCAACAACATGTTAAAAGTGCCAATTTTGTCATGTCCCCCCTCATCCAGAAATTGCAAGAAGATGTCACCACTGGTGCACTGAGATAATATGTATTTCCTCATAACCCCCCCTGACCGCTTCACTGTGTTAGGAACCTATATAGCTCAGTTTTGAGCAGTAGGAAGGAGGAACTAACTGAGACAAGACCAGTTCAAAGATTAGCTTTACTGATCTACCTTTGGACAGTTTTTGGTGGACTGTTTGTTGCCAAGGAGTTCCCCATTTTGGTAAAAGGAGAAATTTAAACATTGCTCCCATATTCCACAACATATCTTTGTGAGATGAGCTTTTGAAGCAAGTCTGCTGTCTAAACTAAGCAGAGAGAGACTGAGAGCTGTTGAAGAATGGCTTTGTGTGTGCCTCTCTTCAATTTCTGCCAGGATATCAGTTCTCTGTTCATCCAAACAGGCCCACGTTTCACACTGAGTGAGTATCAACAGCTGAGGGATTTACATTGTAAACATATATGTTGTGTTATGCTACAATGTGATATTTTGTAACCTTTTTCAGTTGTTGGTATGCCACAGGATGTTTTGTACTGTGAAAGATGTGTCACAAAAGTGGAAAAGCACTAGTCTAGTACGAGTATCCAAGACCTTCGTTTTACTTTATTCTACCCATTTCCTCTTACCATATCGGTCTCTTATGTCTTGTAGGCAGTAGTTTGTGTCGGCTGTGGACTGATAAAACATTCATTGTTTGGTCACATACTTCGTATAAGAAGGTGTGAGGAAGTCAATACAGAAAATATACTGTACAAGTACTGTACGTGTGTATGGGTTTGTGTAGTATATACCTATGTGGGATGTGTTTGAGGAATAGAACGTATAGTTTGACAAAGAAGTACAAAAAGAGCAGATGGGGACTTTTGTCTTCATCTTAGGTATATAGTACACACTTTCAGTCCAAGATGGCTCCCCCGACGATGGCTGCCACGGTGCTTACCAGCCTGCTTCAAGGCCTCCTCCACTCTGGTGGGGATGAGTGCGCTTACAGGTGGGAGTCTGACCATCTGGTGTCGTCACGTCACGTTTAGTGTTGAGACAACAGATGCCAATGATGAATACCTCGATGAAATCATTGAAATTCAGCAGAGCCAGGTTCAACAGCAACTCTTCAGAACAACAACGCTCTCAACGTTTTGGTGTCAACAAATGGTAACGTACCCTGTTATTGCTAAGAAAGCTCTGGAGATTTTCATACCGTTTGTTACAACATATCTTTGCGAGCAATCCTTTTCGAGGATGCTGGACATAAAAACAAAGAAAAGGAACAGACTTTGTTGCGAAAAAGACATCAGAGTGGCACTTGCCAAGGTGAAGCCGCACATTTCTGAACTGGTCTCTGAAAGGCAACAGCAGAAGTCACACTGATTTGCAGTAAATGTTCATTATTATGTTTTTGTTTTTGTGTGAAAATCATGTTTTAATGGTTTTGTTCTTTGAACACTGATGTTGATGCATGGTTCATTTTGTGCACCAGTAAAATATATACCTATGTTTTGAATTTTATTTTTCCAATTAAGAAGGGTTCGGTGAATGCACATATGAAACTGGTGGGGGTCAGTATCTCCAACAAGGTTAAGAACCACTGATTTAACATTAGTTGTGCAAACATCAAGCTTCTGACCAACCAGCTTGTCAAGCATATGAATAAAGATGTGTAAATTGCCTTCTTGTGCTGTCCTTGAAGTAAAAAAGGACATAGCTGTCCTCATTTGAGTCTGGTTATGCTCATATCAGGTTATATCATCTACAACTCTACACAATCTGTTCATCAGAGCCCTCTAAGCACTTGGCTTATGTAATTGCCTCTATCTGCAACCTATGACTTTTAGCATTTCATTCCACTTTATTTGATTACTTGTGCACTGTTGTCTTGTCTGTCTACTGTCGCGCACTAACCGCCAAGACAGATTCCTTGTATGTTTGACATATTTTGGCTAATAAATGTTTCCTGATTCCTGATTCCTGATGACTTGGCTCTGACACTTTAAACTGAGCGGGTTTGTTTATCCCCTGCTGAACTCACAACCCTAGATACTCCGTGCAGGAAAAAAAACAGAAAAAGAAAAGATAATATCTCATGTCTGCTCATGTCTCCCCTTATTTAAACAAGCCCATGTTTGTTTCCCTGAGCAATAACACGTAGCTGGCCTAGATAAATATGACCCACGTCCCACAATCGACCCACGACCCACGTCCCACAATCATATATATATATATATATATATATATACATACATTTCTTTCATTGTGTTAATATCTTTACCATTATTTTTTTTGTTGATGCACCTAATGGCCATGTGGGACAAACCGCACAACTCAGTGGTATAGAAAGTCGCGTACACACAGATGCACACTCTTTCAGGTCTGACACATTAGGACAGAAGTCCTTTAATGGCGGTAATGGGGGACAGAGAGCAGATTATTGCTTAAAAGGAAAGAAAAACAATGAGCAGCCACTCTGAGTTGTGGTGTTTCAGTGAAACAGCAAGCGGGCACATTCCAGGACAGCTGCCAGAAACAACCAGAGTACCAGAGAGCGAAGGAAGGAGAATAGCCACACAGGGAACGGCAACTGCCTTCATTTGGCTCCTTTTCCAAAACACAATAACACTCATGACATTGCAAAAGTAGCCACGTAATTTACTTGCAGAGAAAAAAACTGTCAGTAATATGAATTGCAGATTTATTAGAAGTATTATTATGTAACGCTCTGATGATGAAGAAAAGTAGAGTTTGATGGAATGAGGTTGTTTGGATAAAAAAGTTGGCCTTGCTGAAATGCTGCTCTTCTCTTTGTGGTCCGCTAATGGGACGACAACATGTTTACTAAAAGGCAGTCATACCGAAAGTAATTTCTGTTACTACATTCAAGTATCCCTTGAAGTACCGCAGAGTCCTCAGAATGATGATAACATTAAGCACTACTGTGTCAAGTCAAATTCTTGGAACCTTAAATATAACTTAAAGAATGACTGCGCACTTAAAATGTGTTTTTACGATGAATTAAATAATTGACATTTCCTAACAAGTTTGGCCTTTAAAGGCTGACAATGGAGCAAAATGCCATCTCCTTTTTTAAATCAGCCCTAATCTTCAAGGTCAACAGTTAGATAAAGTCAGTTATGAAAAGCATTCCTAATAGTTAATACTAATAACCAATCACATTGGATAATGCTTGTTGTGGAGAGCAAAAAAAAAACGGCCGATCAAAATGCGATTTAGTAATGCACCAGCTCTTCTTTTTAAAATGATGTGATTGGTGGGGTTCGGCAGGCTCAGACCTGCGGGCGAAGTTACACTTTAAAACACTTTTGTGCAGCTCATCTCTAGAGGCCTTCATTATTTTTCCACATGTGGATAAACATGTCAATCACAACTGTGGACTGCACAGCAAGAAGTGTCTGATGGATTGGCCAATATTTAACAAACTGCGTACAAAGCCAGGATGTCAGCTTTAATTTTGTCCAAGCTCCCACACGGTTCCAGTTTCTGCTCACTGCGTTGTACTTCCTGGTCTCTGCATGACTCCAGACACTGCCGGGACTCCAAGGTTGAGAGTGGGAGGTATTTATTGTGCGGGGAGTGAAAATTCAACAGAGCAGGGAGAAATGACGTTTGCCTTTTAAGCTTATAAAAATGAACCGAGCAAGTGAGCCGGGCATGTGTGACTACAGGGAGTGGGTGTTTCAAAAGCATCTTGTGTCATTTCAGACAAAACTCCGGTTCCACTGTGAGCAACAAAAACAACGGGGCAAGCGTGGTCTGTTTTGAGAGAGAACTGAACTAAAATAAAAATAATCTCCCTTGGAATAGGGCTAACTTCCTCTTCGTATTACAGCTAATAAAGATAAAGGGGAAGAAAAATAAAGAGTTTGAAATACTCGTCGGGTTAAAGAAAAATGGTATGCCATCAACCAGATAAACCCGTGCAAGACCAGTAGGAAGGAATCTCACTGCCCACATGACTGGCTCGTGCTACTGAGCAAAAACATTGCTCCATAGCGCTGCCGGTGGTCAGAAAAAACACATTGCAGCTTTTATTGCAGCTTTTATTGACCGGGAGTGTCTGAGGATCCACCTCCAAAAGTTAGCCCAACTTAAGTGAGCCTTCGCGGGAGTTCTTGCTAAATTTTGGGGTTAACACATTATTTTTAAGATCCATCAAGAACAGAGTGATGAAGTCAGAGGGCAGGCCCCGAGGCAGAATGTTTCCCGCAGCTGGCAACATTAAAGAAAGTCTCCCGCGCCGTTTTGGGCTGGAGTCTGGCTAGCATCAGCGTGTTGTGTGTTCCTTTTGACACTGAGCTCCAGGTAATGAGGAAGTCTGGCTTTCTTCTTAGGAGCTCTCTGCCACTCAGTGAGGGCCGTCTTACTACTGACACCCCCCTTACTTTCTCCTTCAACTCCTTCTGTTTATCTCCGTCCTCACATGTACCTCTTGGCTCTCGGCCTTCATTCTCTCCGTCTACCACTAGCAGGGGGGAAGAGGGGCGCTTGCCTCTCAGCAGGGAAAGACGCCATGCCTAACCTTTCCCCCCGAGAGAAAAAGCCCTCACAAGGCAAACACATGGAGTAGGAGAACCCAGTTTTCTAGCTTCACCCGGGGATGTGTTTGTGTACACCTCCATCTGTTTGGTGAACTTTCCCGGAGAAAAAGACCCATCCTCACCTGGAACTGGCCAATGTAGTCGTCGTCCACGGTGCCTTCCCTGCCCTCCTTCAGCGCAATGAGGGTGAAACCCCGGAAATAAGAGGGGCTGGTTGCCAGCAGGACCACTGTTAAGGAGGAGAGCGAGTGCAGTGTATTTATCTCTGCAAAGAGATAGTGAAACGGGCACATGCATCTGCACACTGGGGTCACGACGGGTGAGGCAACATGAGTATCTGTGAGTATCTCACACTATAATAACAGAGAGCCAGTAAATGTCACGCAGGGAGTTGAGTGCGAAGGAACAGGCCGGGGTTGTATTCAGCTCACACTTGCGCCCTAACTTTGAATTTTTATACCAGCCCATTTTTTGGGGGGGGCCCTGGGATTTAGTTTTTGATGGATTCAAATGTATCCTTGTAAAGCTAAATGTTGAAATATTGCATACCCGTGAATATTTTGTCAGTGGGGAGTTTTAGGCCCTGCAAGATCAGTTTTTTACATAAAAAATGTAAGTTAGGATTTTAAAAAGCAGGGAACGTAAAAAATTATTGAGTGTTGAAAATTGAAAGTTAACTTCTAAACATGCCAGAGATCCCAAAGTCATAATATTTGACATGGGAGGAAATAAAATCCATCAGGTAGGACAGGGACTTTTAGTCTGTGGTGACCCCCCCTCCCACACACCCCACTACGCAGGAGCTAGAGGAGCACACACTGGTTTGGAAATATTGTTTGCTGCAATTTCCATCAAATTGTAAAGCTAATTACAGAATACATGTGCAATGTCTACCAACTTCACAAACACTCCACTTAACACGCACTGAATGCGCAGACTGGTAAAAAAAAAGAAAAGGGAAAGGCTACCTCTGTAGGTGCTGCCCGGCTGGTAGCTTGCCGGGTCCCCCTCGACTCTGATCCTGAACTCGTGGTGCCCCTCCTTACGGGTCCCCTGGGTCTGCGCCCGGAGGATCCGCCCGCAGTAACCGTCCGACCTGCCGCCGACGGGCTCCTCTACGAAGGCGACGGCGGTGCACAAGAAACTCGAGGCGAAATAGCAGTGCAAAAGCATCACATGGCGATACATTCCCATCTCGGAATCCGGATATGAGTGTGTTCAACCCCAAATAAAAAACACCCAGTGTAAAGGCGAAACAGCGGTGAGAGGATCAGCTCTAAACCCCTTGCACAGGAATGTCTAACCGAAGTAACGCGGCGTCAGTGGTAAAGGTGAAAAGAAGGAGACAAGTCCATCCTGAATTAGAGAGAGAGAGAGAGAGAGAGAGAGAGAGAGAGAGAGAGAGAGAGAGAGAGAGAGAGAGAGCGTCAGGGGCGCACCGCGTCCATGCGCTGCTGGAGCGGCTGTGAGAGAGCAGCTGCTGCTGCTGTTCCCGGATCTGTGTTCTCTCAGGGTGGGGTGAGGGATGGCTGCCAAGTAACCGAGCGCGGGTGCACACGGGTCCAACACTGGAGCTCTCCACTTTTACTAAGAGCAACCCAGCCCTCCTCTCATACACAAAACAGCTGCACACACAAGCGCATGGTAACCCCCCCCTTTGCCTGCATGTGTCTGACGATGCATCATGTACGTATGCCGAACACAGTCATCAGGACCATCATCTCAGCTCTGTGTGCTTCCCCAGCGGCTCCCTTCCTCCAGAGCTACTTCGTAAAATTGGTCACTCTCATCTCCGAACCCATTACTGTCCCACCAAGTTTTATCACACAGGACGAGTGCGAGGGATTATGGAAATGGAGGGAGGCTTAAGGTTAATTATTAAAAGTGTAATTTGAAATCAGCTGAAGCAATATACATTTACGTTTAGATAGTAGGTCTAGGGTCGTCGTGGTGCAGGGGTTAGAGAAGGTGTGGTGGGAAGCACAATCAAACCAACAAGGTTGTTGGTTTGATTCCAGGCTGCCCCATGTTCCATGTCGAAGTGTCCCTGAGCAAGACACCTAACCCCTAATTGCTCCCCGGGCAAAAATGTGAAAAAAGCCATGGGTTTAAAGTGTAATGTAAGTCGCTTTGGATCAAAGCGTCTGCTAAATGACATGAAATGTAATGTCTACTTAAAAAATCAATTTCATTCCTTTCTGACATTCTTTTATCCCCCTTAAGTGAGTTAGTCAGTTATAAGCATAACAAATCAATCCGAGAGCTGGAGATAGTTAAACTAAACAGCCTGAATGTCTCAGAGTGATGGATCCCATCTGGAGTGACACTGTATTAAAACCAAACCAAACCAAACTCGGGCAGAAAGTGGCGCCAAACTCGGGCAGAAAGTGGCGTCAGAAACGACGCATTGGACAAACAAGATGAAAACAACCTGTTTGCACTAGTCAGTAACATGTATTCATTTATTCAATTCAGCTTGAGGGAATGTGTGTTCCTGTGGAATCTTCTAGTTTTCCCTGCTGAACGACACTCCACAAACTCGCCGTTTTAAAAATCATGAGCCGTCAGTCCCCAAAAGTATACCACTCAAAGATCTTCAAGCTGCTGATCACACCTCACACATGGTAGTTTTTGGGGGTGTGCCCTGCCCGGGAGCCACGGCGGATCCTCCGACGTGGCTCCCCACAACCCATCCGACTGCCGTCAATTTACAATCCTAAACAATAAAATTGTTCAACAGTTCAGTTGGTGTTCGTGAAGAGAGAGAGTTGAAATTTTAACAATGCTTTATTATAACAGGCATAATATGATATTGCAAGTTGTTTGGGGCTTGGACTACATCCTGCCACAGGATAGACCAGGGGCCAGGATCTCGAGCCGAAACATACCCCCCCCCTTTGGGAGTCCAGACACTGGTGGTGGTAGAGCCCAAGTTGCATAACTCGCCTGATATGCCAGGTTCTGCTGTAGATTGGAGGTGTCAGGGGTGGTGGCGGGTCACCTTTGGAGCGTGCTGAAATGACAACTGACAGCAAAAGAGAAGAGAACAGTTTTGATTGTTTGCCTGCCCCAATGCGATTGGTTTACGGTAACGACAACTAGTCTGATACTACCCGCCCCTAATCAGCTGGCCGTGCACCCCCAGGGAGAGAGGAGGCCACCAGGGAACGGCACAGCCTGTCCAGTCTTCCTAACTGAATTTTCGCCTAAGCTTCATTTAATGACATCACCAAAATAAAAATGAAAACATCTTTTTTTGTCTGTTTTTAAGCTACAAAATTATTTGGCGGTGGGAGGGTTGAATTACATTTTAGGGCCTATCGATGCTCCTGATTGGTTGAATGTTTTATAAGCCACTTAATCTGTCTTGCCAAGACAACTCACAAAGCTGTCTGAATGTAGCGACGGCTGAATGGTGGTTTCTTTAGGTGCTAGCAAAACACACCGTCCAGACAATAAGAGCGAGCAATTTGAAGAAACGTTTAAATGAATGGGATAAAATATCCGAAAGCTGAGGAAGGTGTATACGCACTGTATTGGCTCTCTTGTATAAAGTCAGTTGAAAACTCTTGTCCCCGAAGCTAAGCGGTAAACTCTCTTCCATGCTCTGTCAAGGATACATCCATCAGTCGTGTCATTGTGTTAAAGGCAGCGCACACAGCAAACACACCCACAAACACACATACTGTCATGGCATACTAACAAATGATTGCTGATTGAATCAATGCCCAGATAAGAGAACATGAAGCAGTTGCAATCAGCACTTAACACCAAACATAATTGTAGCAGATTGAGCGTGTATGTGAAATGTTTTCAGATTCATGGATGAGTAAACACAATAATAATAATAATACTTTCGTTTTTTTATAGCACTTTTCTTGGTACCCAAAGACTAAACAATACATGAGGCGTCCTTGTGAGGCAGAGACTCAATCTCAAGTTTTGAGAGTAACTTCAATGACCTACTACTAATTCAGCATTGTTTTTCTTTGTTTCAGCCGGCTATCATCAACTTTGTGTTAACTGGAGCAGCAGCTGTCATTTAAAAAAAGTTTTCTTTGAATGGTGGAGCCCCGGAACAGCTTATAATATTTAGCAAGCGTCAAATTATGATTAATCATGTTGACATAGAATCAGAGTATGAAAGTACCTTTATTTGTGTAGTTTCATCTATAGAGATTTGAAACTAATGAACATTTGTGTGCAACCTAATTTGACACGTTTTTAAAGCAATGGGCACACTGCTGTTTTATTGCACGTTTAACTCTAGGGGGTGAGTAAACTGTGCAGCAGCACTCTGGCTGAAGAAATTAGATGGAAAGGATTTGGGGTTGCCTGCTAGCAAACAAAATTGATTTCTCGAGATTTGTGTGGAATTGCGGAAGAAGATGTCATGGCAATGACATACCGGTCAGTTCCACCAAAAAGACAAGACTCACTGAGTCAAGCATTAGAGTCTGTTTTTTTAATTTCTGTCTCTTCTGACTGGAGGTAATCACCGCCCCAACATGTCTGATGTGTCTGCCTACAGACTACTGCACTTATCCAAAATCATTTCGAGGCATAATTTACATGCACTCACATCCCCTGAAGCTAAGTGAATCATTCATGACAAATTGGTGGAGATATAATAGAGATATTGTGAAAGCACCACATTCCTTTTATACCGTCCCCATGCACGGACATCTCTGTTCCATTTCCAAATCCCTCACTGCGCTGACACTCAAAACAGATGTATGGTTCTGTCTATCAAACATAACAAGCTATATATGAGGGTAGGGTGGGGGAGGGTGTTAGCGACAGCCCTCAGAACCAGATTCTGATTGAAAGGAGTCACAGAGAAGGGAAGTAAAGGAACGGCAGGCGCAGCAGTGCATACTAACACCCAGCTGCATAGATGTTGCATCTAGGGAACCAAATATTTAACTTCAGGATGTCCAAGCCTTCTGATCACCAAGAAGGACAGCAGGAGAAAACTAGAAAATGCATTTCCTGCTGAAAATGCGTTGGAATGCGAAAAGCTAAAAGCTGAAATGAACTTCAGAAAATTGCTGAAAATACAGAAAGTTGAAGGGAATTTTAATACATTTGCTGAAATTACAGATATTAGAAAAGCTTAAATTAATTTGAAATTGCTGAAAATACAGAAATGGGAGAAGCGGAAAGGAATTTCCATAGATTTGCTGAAAATAAAGAAATGAAACAACTATAGAAGAAAGAATATCAAAATATTGATGAAAATACAGACATCAGAAAAGCTGAAGTTAACTTCAATAGATTTGCTGAAAATACACAGTTGAGAAAAGCTTAAATAAATTACATGAAATTGGTGGAAATACAGAAATGGAAGAATCTGAAATGGATTTTAAAACTATTGGAATAAAAAATACTAGAAATAGAAGAAATTTATCAATTTAAAAATTGCTGAAAATTCAGAAATGACAAAAGCTGAGTTGAGTCTTAAAAAATGTATTTTTTGTAGTAATAGTAGTAATTGTAATTTTGGCAGTAATAATATTATCATTAGAATAAGTAGTAGTTTTAGTATCAATAGAAAAAAATCTAGAAATAATAGTGTTAGTAGTACTACTAGTTTTATCATCTGTAGTAGTAATACTGTTAGTCATTGTAGTATTTGTAGTAAAATGAGTAGTAGTTGTGGTATTAATAGCAGTATAAATACTGGTAGAACGTTTTCTTATAGTAGTAAGAGTAATGGCAGTTGCTGGGTCACTTCTACTGGTAGAAATAGTATTTTTAGTACAACTACTATTAGTAGTAGTAAGAGTCATTTAGTATTAATACCAGTTGAAATACTAGTAGTAGTATTAGTAATGGTAGTAGCAGTATTAGTTGAAGTAGCACTAGTTGTACTAGTGATATTAGTAGTTGTTGGGTATGGGCAGAATGTTTGTCCTTCAAACTATAAATCAATAGACCTCATTACATTTAGATTAGATTAGATTCAACTTTATTGTCATTGCACAGAGTACAAGTACTGAGGCAACGAAATGCAGTTTAGCATCCAACCAGAAGTGCAAAATAGCAAAAAGTGCAGAGTATGTGCATATGTAAAGTGTAATAAGTGGATAAATAGATATGTACAGTAATAAATAGATATGCAATATGAACAGTAAGAGGTATTGTAGGTATAAGTATGATTAATACAGTAATAAGTGGTAGAAAAAAACATTCTGGTGCAAATCATCAGTGGCTGGAGGAGGGTGTGGCAGTCAAGCCAGGGTGGAGGGGGGGAAGTACAGTGCAAATCACATCACAAACACTACAGTAATATTCCCTCCATGGGGGATATATTTTAAAATGTTGGCATTGAGGAAGGAGAGAGCACACTAGAGAGAGCAAAGGTGAAAGAGAGGGAGGGAGAAAGAGAGAGAGAAAGGGAGAGAAAGTGAGGAAGGGAGAGGGGGAGGAATGGAAAGAGAGGAGGAGGAAGGGAGATAGAGGGAGGAACTGAGAAAGAGAGGGTGAGGAAGGGTGGAATGGTGAGAATAGGAGAGGGGGGATGGCAGGAGAGAAGAAGAAAGAAAGGAGGAGGAAGAAAGAGGGGAAGAATGGAAAGAGGAGAACAAAAGAGAGGATGAGGAAGGAAGAAAGAGGGCAGGAATGAAAAGAGGAGGATAAAAAAAGAGGGTAAGGAAGGGAGAGGGGGGAAAGAGGGAGGGAGCAAGGGAGAGAGAGGGGGAGAAAGAAAGCGGAGGAGGAAGAAAGAGGGGAGGAATAGGAAGAGGAGGAAGGGAGAAAGAAGGAAACATAGGGGAAGGGAGGGGGAGGAATGGAAAGAGAGGGGGAGAAAGGGTGGAATGGTGAGAAAAGGAGAGGGGGAAGAATGGAAGGAGAAGAGAAGAAAGAAAGAAAGATGAGGAAGAAAAAGGGGAGGAGGAAGGAAGAGAAAGAGGGGGAGAAAGAAAGAGGCTGAGGAAGGGAGGGGGAAGAGAGGGATGAATGGAAAGAGAGGGGGAGGGAGGGAGAGGGGGGGAAAGGGAGGGAGGGAAGAAGCGAGAGAGGGGGAGAAAGAAAGAGGGGAGGAATGGAAAAAGAGGAGGAGGAAGGGGAAAAGGGGAGAAAGAAAGAGGGGAAAGGAGGAGGAGGAAGGGTGGAATAGTGAGGAAGGGAGAGGGGGAAGAATGGAAAGAGTGGAGGAGAAAGAAAGAGAAGGAGGAAGAGGGGAGGAATAGAAAAGAGAGGAGGAAGGGAGGGAGAGGGGGAGAATGAGAGGGGGAAAGCATATCTGCGTTCTGTGACTCCACTAATCAACTATTATGGATCAGCTGTGTGACACAAACTGACCAACTGACAAACTGCAGCGTGTGTGCTGGTATCCACGGTAACGGAGCACCTGCTGAAAGGACAGAGACAGGACAGCGAGTTACACAGAATCCACACCTCAAACAAGTGTCCTCTAGCGCAAAACCATAACAGCTATCTAGAGACCCAAGACTCTACCAAACGCAAATATGTCGTTTTCATGTCTGGTCGGTAATAAATAGGGCTCCCGTGGCCGTTTAGAAAACATGTACCTTCTGGATTTTTTGAGAAATAGGTTGGCAGATTTGTATTGGAGCCTATGGGGCTTTTAGCAGAGGTTGTGTGACTGTTGGTCTCCGTAGGCCAAAAACTAAAGAACTCTGGGATTCCATAGCCACATGACTACAAGCAGCACAACCATGCCATCACGGTAAGCTAAAAATGAAGCCTTAAAAGTGTATACTTTGGCTCTGAGGACCGAAGTTCCATATTTTTTTAACCAGATTCTGACGCTGCCCCACCCTCTAGCATCTCCAGGTCTCACTCTAAGAAATGCAACGGAGCGAAGTACTATGAAACATAATCAGTGATTATGAAAAAAGACAGTTGAGACTTGTGTCAACATTTGAAAGTTGAAATGGTGTCTGTAGCTGAAAGATTGGCAAATCTGAAGAATCTGAAAGTTGAAGAAGTTTAAGAGGATTTGAAAAACGATCTCCATTGGAAAACTATGTTAAAATATTAATGATTATTGATTTATATAAATGCACGTTTAAGAGGTAGAAAGCTGAAAAGTCATAGCTGGAAAGCCAGAAAGGAGCTGCATATTTTAAAATTTAACAGTTTTAATAGCTAAAAGTGTGAAGGAGTTGAAACGTGCGGCGGAAGAAATAGCAATGCATTTCCTGCTGAAAATGCGTTGGAATGCAAAAAGCTGAAAGCTGAAATGAACTTCAGAAAACTGCTGAAATTACAGAAAGTTGAAGGGAATTGTAATACATTTGCTGAAATTACAGATATTAGAAAAGCTGAAATTAATTTGAAATTGCTGAAAATACATAAATGGGAGAAGCTGAAAGGATTTCATAGACCGAAAAAGCAGAAATGAAAACAGCTGAAATGAATGTGAAATATTGCAAATAAATACAGAAATAAATATTAAAGCATTGCTGTTAATACAGGCATAATAAAAGCTGAAATTATTTGAAAGAACTGCTGAAAATGAATTTCAATAGATTTTCTAAAAAATACAGAAGTTGCAGGAGCTTGAATGAATTTTACAAAATACAGAAATGACAAAAGCTGAGATGCGCAGTTATAACAAAGGCAGCTTAACCCGCTTCTACAACCCGCCAATGACGGCTTGTATAAGCGCTCATATTTCCTCCGACAAAAGTTCTTAAATCTGATCCGTTCTCTCGTAAACATTCTTCATTTTAATAATGGCGGTATCAGGCTACACTGCATGAAAAGTGGGATTTTCGGCAGTATGCGGGACTGTAAATTGTCGTGGAATTTCAGGTTTGCGGCTGTTCACGGCAATTTGCGGGCAACGCCGAAAACTGCCGTAAATTGTCAGAAATTGATGTGGGCCTCCCTTGGCAGTTGTCCCCCCATGACCCCCCTCCGCCTAATTCTAGGGGAGGCTTTGACATGTAAATGGAAATGCTGTGAGCTATACAAATGCAAATCAGGGTCGCAGAGGGAGTTTTAGCCGAGGTGACATTTTTTTAAAAGGTAAGGAAATCTCTGGTACAAATAGATCAGGCTCAGTAGCCTAATTATAGACTCTTACATTTTAGCTTGAATTGATTTATTTAATTCAAATATGCTAGATTACTGTGTACACCATTAGCAATGGCAAATGTTATGTAAAAAAGATACACAAAATAACTTCTTTAAAAAATTTTAATCAAGGTAAAATGAGCATTCCATGCAAACAACATTTGAATCAGCATGAGGGGTCTGCAGAGATCACAGTCTCCTAGAGCTCAACTACAGTGCATAGTGGCAGGACTACAGTGACCTTTTCTTTGGTCTTACTTAAATGCACAGAGGATGTATTAACCACACATCTTCTAGCAATGCGCTCAACTGGCAGAAATGATGCTGGGTATGACGTGTCTGTTCCCTGCAAGCCCCAATCTTCTATTGGCTTTCCATAAAAATGTCTGTCCGGGTGGGGATGAAGCCAGGGAACTTGTGCAAGAACATGTTTAAATGCCGTACCCTTTGATACAACATTAACAACTATAAACTGCTTTATAATGGCTGGTCGTAGTTCTGCTAGACTCTAGCAGAACTACGACCCCAAACTACGGCCCGCGGGCCGCATACGGCCTGCCTCCACATTTGACCCGGCCTCCTGAACAATACCGAGACGGAAAAAAGGCTAATGGTTATGGTAAAATGGTTGTGTCATACAAGTAATTACGACTGCTCGACAGATCGCGGTCCCTTTAAATGTTCTGTTGTTGTTGATGACGTAGAGCCCGTTGATAGGGAGATTACAGGGCTGCGCCATCTTGTTTTTTCGTCCGTTGTGAAAAATAAACGAGACACACGCTTGTTCTCAACTTTCTCTGTGTAATGCAACTTCCACAATAATGGCAAAACGGTGTGGTAAGAGAAAAATTGATTCAGAATGCAGGGTATTTAACCCGCAGTGGACACATGATTACTTTTTTGTTCAGTTGAAAGAAAAGGCTGTTTGTCTTGTCTGTCAAGAGACGGTGGCGGTATTCAAAGAATACAACCTGCGCCGACATTATGAATCCCGTCACAAAGACAAGTATGCTAGCCTGCACGGCCAAATGCGAGCAGAAAAAATGTCTAAGCTAAAAACTGGACTGTTCGCTCAGCAGACTACATTTGTACGGCAAACTCAGCTGAACCAAGCATCAGTTCGGGCCAGCTTCCGTGTTGCTCAGCTGATAGCAAGCTGCGGTAAATCTTTCACTGAAGGAGAGTTTGTCAAGAAATGTTTGAATGTTGTCGTGGAGGAGGTCTGTCCGGAGAAGAAAGATGTCTTTAATGCCGTGAGTCTGTCGGCAAGTACAATTACCCGACGTGTTGAAGAAATTGGGGGTAATGTGTATGCCCAGCTGCAGCAGAAGACTAAAGATTTTCAGTTTTTTTCATTAGCACTGGATGAGAGCACGGACGTGCAGGACACCGCAGAGCTGCTTATTTTTATTCGTGGAGTTAACGCAAACTTTGAGATGTGCGAGGAGCTGGCAGCCCTACAAAGCCTGAAAGGGACTACAACTGGGGAGGATATTTTCGACAAAGTATGTCAAACCATGCAACAGTTGGATCTGGACTGGGCAAAGCTTGCCAGCATCACGACTGACGGGGCCCCTAGTATGGTGGGCGCGTCTCGGGGTTTAATAGGACGCATGAACCGGGAGATGGAGGAACGGGGTCTCACCGCCCTGCTACAAGTACACTGCCTAATTCACCAGCAAGCGCTGTGCTGCAAAGTGTTGAAGTGGGATTCTGTCATGAAGGTTGTGGTATCGTGCATAAACTTCATCAGAGCTAATGGACTTAAACACAGGCAGTTCCAACAATTCCTGTCTGAACTGGAGTCTTCGTACGGAGATGTGCTGTACCACACAGAGATCCGATGGTTGAGCCGCGGAAAAGTTTTGAGGCGTTTTTACGAGCTGCTACCTGAAGTTAACGCATTTCTTCAGTCAAAAGGCAAAACAGTCCCAGAGCTGATCGACCCAGCATGGAAATGGCACCTCGCATTTTTAACAGACGTGACAGAACTGCTGAACGGCCTTAACTTGCAGCTACAAGGGAAGGGGAAACTCATTTGCGACATGTATTCCCACATAAAAGGATTTGAGGTGAAACTACGGCTGGTTTTGGAACAAGTGAAAAAGCACAACTTCACCCATCTCCCTGCTACCCAAAGCTTTTCTGCAGAGAAGCCATCTGTCGCGTTCCCAGGTGAAAAGTGTGTGGAAGCACTGGAAATGCTGAAGGCGGAGTTCGGTGTACGATTCCGTGAACTACATGTTCATGCAAAAGAAATCCGTCTTTTTCAGAACCCTTTTGTTGCCGACATCGATGAAGCCCAGCCTTCGTATCAGTTTGAGCTGGCCGAGTTACAGAACTGTGATGTTCTGAAAGACGCATTCAAGCCCAACAGTCTCATTGACTTCTATGCCGCCCTCCCAAATGACACCTACCCTAACATAAAACAACACGCAATGAAGATGTCCACACTTTTTGGCAGCACGTATATCTGCGAGCAAACCTTTTCACGCATGAAACTCCTGAAAACTCCAACGAGATCAAGATTGACAGATGAACATTTGCATCAGTGTTTGAGACTGGCTGTGACTAGAATGGAACCGGCCATTCAACTTCTCTCCAGCCAGATGCAGGCCCACAGTTCACACTGATGAACACACAGTACATAGGTAAGCTCACTTTTCTGACTTATATCAGTCATTCTGTGTATCAACAAATGTAATCATAATAAAATCTATTGGGATAAAAATCCATCTCCACAACCATACTGGTATTGAAATGCATTGTGCTGTATCGCTTAGTTTGGTTTCTTAGCCTGCTTGCTTTGTGCTTTTCAGAGGGAAGTTGATGAGAGGGAGCCTACAGTGGTGTCTACTGGGCTAGCCTATAGAACCTACAAAGAACACTAGAACTTTGAGAGACATTTGAGATTCTGCTGTGACAAGTGAAGTTTACCTTTTATCTAGGATTGTGCATGGCACAGCATAACTTTCTTTCTGTGAAGAACCCAGAGAGGGTTATTTGATCTCAGAAAGGGTTATTAATATTTGGATATGTGTGGTGCGCTAGAGTGTCAGCATGTTTTCTGGAAAACAATAAATGATTACATTTAGGGACCCCTGCGAATGTCACACTTTTTCTGTTAGAAACTGACCCTGGCCCCCCATCAGAGAAGGGAAAAGTTATGTGGCCCTCACTGGAAAAAGTTTAGGGACCCCTGTGCTAGAGGGTCAAGGACGGGTTCCTCAAAACTGTTAGTGTTTCCACACCACTTAGCATAACTATACGCTGACCTTTCTGCTCTACATCTATCGATTGAGTAAGTTACATTCATATATGTTACCCGTTTACATGTCATGGCAAAACATTCAACCTCAGTGACACATGGGTACATCTGATGATACATTGTCAACATTGCATGTATGTCAGAATCATCCAAGATTGTCTGGTGGAATGGAGAAAGAGGCACCACTGTACAGTTTTCTAGGGAAAGTCGTTCCGCTGACACCAAAACACTGCTTTACATAAAGCATATCAGCACAAAGTCCCAACCATTTGTCTTCCTAAAATACTGGTCCTTCCGTATAACAATAACCTCGTATGTGATTGGAGGACCCGTAGACTCCTCGTCCAATCACGTATGAGGTCATAGGCATGACTGATACAGCAGTATCAGTCATGCCTATGACCTGTGTTACTATATTCAGAAGAACTGTATCTCCAGTTCCTTTGTTTGGTTTGGTTTTTGCTGCTTCGTGAATAATGGCTGGACGACGTCTCGCGTTCAACTCGCCTTCAACCCCTCTCCGCGGTCACCAACTTTCGGCCAGTCCGCAGACAGACGAGAAGAAGCTGCTGAATGCTCTCAGTGGATTGTCTCGTCAACTCCAACAACAAACTGCCGATATCAACGAGCGGTTCGCTCCACTGGAGCGTTCGGGACTCTGTGGGTTTCTGTCCATGGAGGAGAGGAACTGAGTCAAAGAAGAGGAGACGGGCGCACAATCCCAAGATAGCGGTAAGAATACGTTCGATGACTGCAAGCTAAGCTAAAAGTAGCGTAGCCTCAAACGAAAGCTAAGAGTAGCCTAGTAGCCTTACAAGTGAGCAGAAACTGCTTTATTAAAGTGTATTTTCTTTGCCGTGTCGTTTATAGGAAGCGGTGCGCCGTCTTCACAACTCCGAGACGAACTACAGGCGCTACGAACCGGAGCAAAGGTAAGATTTACAGAATATGCTTTCATTCTGCAGTATAAGCAAATATATACGTATGGATACCGATCATAACTGTACATTTTGTTTTCACAGACTAATCTCGCCTCATTATGAGACGGTGACCACGTATTTGCTCCGGAAAAAGTCCAGATTTAGACGACGTCATTGTGTGTAAGTGACACTGTTTCTCCTTCTTTGTTAAATGTAACTGTGACTTGCGTTTGATTTTTTGTATTCATACCACACTCATTTAATTGTTTTCCAGCCGCCTGTGAGACGTATTTTGAGACGGGACGCAGGAGCTTCAGGTTTTCCCAGCCGGGACACTCATTGCGGGCGGAAGCTGCGAAGGATTCAGCGCGGAGTCGAGCGAGAAGAAAGACGGTCAGAGTTTATTTGCTGACTTTTTTCAGGTGAATTGATAGATGTGTTGTGTCCGTACGCATCGCATCGCACAGTACTGATTCATTGTTGTTTTTACAGCTGCTGGAATCGAGATAAAGTGTGCTGGCTGATGACGAGGTGGAACTCTGGAAATCCGCCACCGTAGAGCTCACGTCGGACGGAGGGGACGGCGTTGTTGGCGGGGTCTCGAGGTGGATTGTACGGTCGCCACATACACACGAGGCGCCTGCACAACAGACCTGCCTCGGAAAACACGGCGCCAGTGACGGTCTACAACCCCGAGGAGGCAAACAGACAGTTTACTGAGCTGTAGTTTTTAAACCGCCGTTACCCAAGTGTGGGCAGATCCTCACTTTGTATGTAAGTTGTTGTTTGTGTGTTGTTTCTTTGCATAAACATGTGGCAAATGTTAATTTTCTCTATAAATTCATTGATGTCCTTGTTGGTATCCTAATAATAGTGTAGTAGCCTACATAGGATAACCATGAAATGAATATACAGCATAATATGAATATATAAATATATATGAATAAAATGAGGCGGGTGACCAATAGCGACAGATCTGCCAACCAATCACGAGTGATTGAAAGTTGTGTTTTCATCCAATCATGATCAAGGAAACTCAAGCCTGGTCTGCCCAGGTGTGGTTTTGCTGCCAATCACGAGTGATTTTATTTGTTCGTAAGTTGTGGTTTCATCCAATAAGGAGTAAGGATATTCAAGCCCGCTCGGCTCAGCCACCCGCGGTTTCGCTGCATTCATATGCTAATTTGGGCCATTCGCACCTCCGCCAGCTCTCCACATACGTCATGGTTCGTTTCCGACAATTTGTGGCACAGACAAACGCGACGTGCGCGGGTTGCAAATTGTCGGAAATTAGGGAGATTTCCGGGCGTTTACAGGGACGAAAATCTCACTTTTCATGCAGTGTTCATGAAGTTCCTGTGTTTCCACAGCGCCCCAAAATCATGTACTACACCAAAAGCATAGCGAGAGTCAGTGTGAACTGTGACTGTCTTATCCTTAGCCAGTTTACAGGCTTCGGTCAGAGCGATGAGCTCGACTGCCTGGGCTGAGAGGTGACATGGCAGAGGACCTGAACACAGCTGACCAGAGTCAGAAACAACAGCAAAACCAACACGATTTTCACCAGACTGAGGATCACGGGAGGCGGATCTATCCACATACATTACCATGTCGCTGTTAGTTAGTGGAGTGTCCACTAGGCCAGGGCGAGTGCACTGAGCTTGGAGCTCAGTTGTGGTCCTCCCCATCCCCAGGAATAGGAAGTTAGGATTCAGGGTTAAGGTTAGTACAACGTTTATAGTGACATTCGGCATGTCCAGGAGACATGTGTGGTACCGCAAATAGCGAGCCGCAGAGAGGTGAGATGATTTCTGTTCGAGGAGAATCAAGGAAACCGCGTGCGGAACCAGCAGAGTGAACGGCGCATAGCCAACTATGTCACGTGAGGCTGTGAGTGGCTTTTCAGCCGCGGCCACAGCGCGCAAACATTGTGGCAGTCCTGCAGCGACAGGGTCGAGTTTTGTGGAGAAATACGCCACCTGGCAGAGTTTATCACCATGGGGTTGTAGCAGCACAGAAGTCATGCAGCCCTGTCTTTCATCTACTGTTTGAGTAAATGGCTTATTCGGTTTCGGCAGTCCAAGAGTCGGAGGAGTTTGCAAAGCACATTTCATTTGTGTGAAGTCCGCAAGACCCTCTTCAATCCAGATTATTTTGTCGTGTGCTGTAAGATTTTTCCCATGGATTAAGTTTGATAACGGTTGTTCCATTTGTGAGTAGTTTGGAATAAATGATCGACAGTATGAGCACATGCCCAAAAAGGACATCTGTTTTTTGCTGTTGGGTTTCGGTATTGATAGGATCGAGGCTATTCTTTATGGGGAGAGGGTTTTTCCTTCTCCAGATATGTCATGACCTAGGAAACGCACATTTTGAGACACAAATTGTAATTTAGAAAGGCTGGCCTTGTGGCCTTCCTTCGCTAATAAGCGTGTCTGTCTGACACTGTGCCTGATTTGGAGCTTCAATCAAACAGTCATCAACATACAGCAGAAGTGCAGAGCCGGGAGAGAGCGATAAGCTCTCCAAGCTTTCTCTGAGCGCATCATTGTAGATTGTGGGTGATTCGGTATAGCCTTGACACAAACGAGTGAAAGTGTATGGCTTACCGTTGAAGTTGAACGCAACCCAAATTGACTGTCTTTGTCGACTGGCATGCTGAAAAAAGCATTCGACTGGTCAACAACAGAAAAACATTTACCTTCAGGAGGAATCTAAGCTAGGATTGTGTAAGGATTAGGGACATTTGGTGCCCGTGCATGAACGGCCGCATTTACTGCTTTTAGGTCCTGCACGAAACGCCATTCTGTAGGCTTGCCAGCATCTCTGATTTTTTTCACTGGAAATATTGGCGTCCTGACCGGTGAGTCTGGACATGGAACTATCACTCCTGCTTTCAGGAGCGAATTGAATACAGGTGTGATACCACCAATGGCCTCTTGTCGCAGGGGGTACTGGTGTTTGTGGGGGCGGAAGTCAGAACGTGGAGTGATGGCGACCGGTTGGCAGTTGTTGATCAAGCCTACATCATATTTGTGTTCCGCCCAGAGTGTCTGTGGAACAGAAGCAAGAGCGGGAGAAATCGATGTGGGAGTTGTTAAAAATGTTTCAACTTTGTCGTTGTGCTCATAAAACACATAGACAGATCGACAAGCTGGTGTGAGGAGTACACAATGAGTTCTGTGAAACCCTGTAGAGGCGGAGCGCAGAACAAGCAGATCGATTGTCTCCTCCCAGTCAGTGAGAGATTCACACTGAGCCACAAATGGTCCCAAATCCCTCCATTGGTCAACGCGTCCTTTGGACAGTGAGACATGGGGATGTGAGCTGGGAACTTGAAACAGTTCTTGGTTCTGGACCCTCTGAAACATATGTTGTGCAATGCAGGTGTTCAGGGTTCATACGGTCTGCATGAGGAGAATCCCGTGCTTCACCAGCTTGGCTTAGCCATTTGGAGTGCGGCTCTACGCCTAACCACTTTAAGGCCGTCTGGAGATGACGTCAAACAAATACCATATGTACACATCAAGTCTCTGCCCATCAGATTTATGTGACAGAGTGAAGAGAGTCAAAAAGAATGTTTTACTTTTATGTCAGGGTTTAGGTCAGTCTCGTCAGAGTGTACACTCGTCATAGGTGCAGTAAATGTTTCTGTCACAGTCAAACCTGAAGCCCCTTGAGAATATACATACCGCCCACTCATTTTTTGATTTGGAAAATGTTTTTCTTGAATTACTGAATGAGTAGCTTCGGAGTCTATTAAAAACGTCAATTCTTTCCCTTCCACAATTACTCTTGTAGTTGGCATATCTTTGTATGCATCTGATGAAAACATAGCATACGTGAGTGGTGGTG